AAGCTCTTATCACACACCAAAATCATTCATATTGATGTTATATATGATGTTATTTATTACATGTAGGGAAGTGAATGAGGATATCAATAATGTTGCTTATTATTTTATGTGTGGCATGCTATAAATATTATTTACGCTTTGTCCAATCTATAAGGCTTTTGCTCATGTTGTGTTTCTACATACTTCATGATACCATAGGCCGCTCCGCTCATTTTGATAGTGAAAATAAAAAATCATGCTAATATAGTAATATTCATGCACATTATACTACATTTGTTGATCATTAATATTTGTTATTATTGTTTGTTGTTTCATATTATTGAACTGTTATAATGGGTCATATTATGTAGAAAGTTATTGGAAATGATGGTTATGTTATATGAGTGTTAAAGAATGTATACAAGTTAATTGAAGGGTTGATTAAAGATTGAATCTAGTAAAGGAGGATCAACATAAGAGAGAATCAGCATCCCAATCTATTTTGTAGAAGAGGAGTGTAAAAATTAGGCTATATTTAAAGAGTATGACTGGGAAGTTTGAGTTTTTAAGCTGGAGTACTTCCTAATGAATAAGAGGTTGATTATCTAGAGGGAAGAGATAAGAGGAGAATAAAGAGAAATCAAATAGACATCACACAAACTTTCTTAAATGTTTTAGCCTTTGGATTGCATCGACTATAGGAGCAGGATAAATGTTCCGCTAAGAGGTTGTTAGATTTGATAAAAAGCGAGTGTAATGTATTCCAAATGCAGAAGTTTTAGAAACTTGGGTAGTTAGTTTGATGACAAAAAATGTAGAATGAAGTATTGATGAATCTCAAATTCATTATATAGTTAATTTCTGATGTATTCTAAACTAAACTATTTTTTATTTCAAAATGCATCGCAAGCTAACTTTGTTGTCCCTGCCAGCCACTCCATGCTATTGGCCTAGCCCCTCGACGATCGTTGTCCCTCCACTACCACTAGTCACCACCATCATTAGGCTTTACATTAGATCCAAATTATTTCAAATCAAGAAAAAAATTCAATCACCTGCAATCATTTTACAGTCATCCATGCATCCAAACAACTTTATACATTTCAAATATATCACATTCCTTTTACATTGGATTCAATTGTACTCCACATTTCTTTTTTAGCAAACAAAATACCCCTTAAATAAGAAATAAATTATAAGTCTCTCTCTCTCTCTCTCTCTCTCTCTCTCTCTCTCTCTCTCTCTCTCTCTTTCAATTGGGTTTGAGTTCATCTCATGTGTTCTACATTTATCGATCTTAGGTGCAAAGGTGCCATAAGCATGGAGTGTTTATACTTGTTATTCAACTTAATATGTTTTTGTGGGCTGATCATAAATGAAGAGTTTGATGCCCATCAAAAACTTCAATATTCTTATTCATTTTTTAGTGATGTAATATTTATTTGTTGATCTACATGATGACCTTGATTTTCATCCTTGGTTCTACTTCTAAGGTACATCCCCACTTATTTAATGACAGTAAAATCCTCTCTTATCTATGTATAAAATTGGAATTTCACCTTGCTATCATAATTTGTGACTTTTAAGGTAAAACCTCACAAGTTAAAATTATTAGCTTGATTAGTTTTCTTAATAACTTCCACCTTGTCTATTAGCTAGTTGTTCTTGGCAACATTCACTTCACTAACAACTTTAGCTTCTTCATTCACTAAAGGCCTTCACTTGACCTAGCTCCGTAGTGCTTTAACTCACTTCTTTTTATATTAGAATAATTTAAGTATCTCATCATTGCCACCTATTGAACTAATCTCCAACATTTAAAGTATCACAATCCAGTCTGATGAGACCCACAAATTGGATCGGTTATCATGTTGACTTGCAACATACAAACTAATGATCAAAATTTTAATTTTTAGAATCTCTATGAGCTCTATGAGCCATTGATTCTTAGAATCTCTTCAACAATCTGTCATATACTTCAAAGTTAGAAAAATAATTAATAGTCTTTAGAGTTAAAATGACACAATTTTTTCATCTATCATATACTTTAATGCTAACAAGCAATGAAAGCATTTGTAATGAACTTCAAACCTTTATTTATAGGTTTTGAGCATCGACCCATCAACACTTATCAAAATCTTAACACTTTATAGATCCAACGAATCATATTAGCCATGCTCAATTAGATTAATGGATTTATTAATGTAGAAAGCAAGGAGCTTGTGTATGACTATGTCCACATGATTCAAGTTGATCAAGTCACAATTGAAGCCTAAGATTTTGTTTGGGACGGCCTTCTTACTGCTTCTTAAAATAGCTTTATAGTATAAAAATTTTAATTTTGGTACTAAACAACTATTTTTAGAAGCAATAAAAAAGCAGTCTCAAACAAAGCCTAAATATAGCTCAATAAGTCATTAGTCAATGAATTGACTTGATACTTCGGCTTCGTTTGGGATGACTTTCTTACTGCTTTTTAAAACAATTTTAGTATGGAAATTTTAATTTTTTTCCTTAAAACTACTTTAAGAAGCAATTCGAAAGCCGTCTCAAATGAAGCCTTAGGTTTCGTTTGGGATGACTTTCTTACTGCTTCTTAAAGCGGCTTTTTAGTACAAAAAATAAATTTTTTATACTAAAAAGCTGCTTTAAGAAGCAGTAAGAAAACCACCTCAAATGAAGCCTTAGTTGTTAAATTGCCCTAAAAAGATCGAAGAATGCACCTACTCATCAAGACTATCCTCCATGAGAACTCAGTTACTCATCCATAGTACTCACAAGGTAGATTAAGAGTTCTTGCTAAATTAAAATGTCACTGCTACTTTCCCTTAACTCGGATTTTTTATTAGGTCTGAACACCTGACGTAGCTCTACATCCGGACGCTAATAAAATATTGTCACTTGCTCTTATTCTTTACCGCGCGGCCCGACGACCCGACTCGGACTGGAACCCAATATTGCTATGTATTAGCTGATTTGTACAGACCAGGGTATTGCTAGGTTTTGCTCGGTATTGGTCTTGAAAGAGCAGTATTTGTCGTTTTTGCCAAGCAATACCTAGCAATACCGAGCAATACCTAGCAATACCGGGTTTCCGTTCCGGGTCGAGTCGTCGGGCCGTGCGATAAAAAGTAAGAGCATGTGGCGATATTTTATTGGCGTCCGGATGTAGAGCTACGACAAGTATCATGACCTAATAAAAATTCCTTAACTCGATACATATTAGTAATTCTAGTTCATTGGACAATTGGCAACTAAGACTTTATTTATTTATTTATTTATTTTTTAATTGACAACTAAGACTTCTATGCTATATAGATATCTACATTAAAGCTTCAATATACTTTTCTAATTATTGGTATAACCTATTTTGTGCTACAGCTTTAGTCTATGTCTATAATTATGAGGCCACTGATCATGAATGGACATAAAAATATATGACACCATTATAGGCTTCTAGCCAAATGTTGTCCCACCAAAATCTTTAAAGTTTGGGCTTCATTCATATTCATATGACTTTTTTATTATTTCTTAAAATAACTTTTTAATACATAAATTTTTATATTAAAATTTGCTTTAAGAAGCAGAAAGGCGTCTCATAGAAACTCTCTATCTCTTACTCCAACTCATTATTTATCTATCTAAGAGCTTAAGGCTTCATTTGGGGCAGCTTTCGTACTGCTTTTTAAAACAGATTTTTATTAAAAAATTTCAAATTCAAGAAATTTTTATACTAAAAGTTGTTTTAGAAAGCAAGAAGAAAGCAGTCTCAAACGAAGCTTAAATGAGTTCGTTGCAAATCTTGAATTATTAAAAAGAATATCCAAAGCCTAGCCCTTGCGCTCAATCTGCAACTTTAATAAGATCTTTTTTTTTTAACAACTTCAATTAATAAGATCTTAGTATATTTCGTGGATAATATTTGATTTAACAAAAATATTCTTTATTTATAAAACTGGCACTCATATAATGAAAATGAATTGATAATTGGGTATATTTGCATGTATTAAATCATTAAAAGTTTACTAAATTATTTTGAATGAATGTTGGTAGTTTTAATATACTATTTAATATTTTTTTGGTAATATTAATATTAAAAATAGTTTTTTTCTATTTATTCAAATATTTAAAATGTAAATTTTTATTGATGAAATTAACTATAAGGATTTTAGAGAATTTTCTATCATCAATTCATCATGTATTAAGATCCATGTGAAAGTATAATGGGCAATGATGATCAGCTAATTTCATAAATATTGAATTATATATATTTTGCCCCGAATTGTTTGCTTTTATCTCGACAACTTGATTATAATAAACATAAATCTCTTATCTTACGAAAAGATTTGAAAGTTAGTGATTAGTTTTTTCAAAATCATGAATTTGAATAGGGGGATTTACATACATGTCCTAAAGCATTATTATTTATATATTTATTTTCTAAACATTACTATTTAAATACATAGCACCCAAAATATCCAACAAAATAAAAATCTCTCCACTCCTCACGACATCATAAGTATAGTTACTCTTCACTGCCTTCAGTCCTACCGATCAAAACTAATCCTTCACCCTTATGGTCTCTCTCTCTCTCCACATCTCCATATATCAAACATGGGAGGCCAGAGGTGAGGACATCAATGATTCAGCCGATGAGAGATTGCATCGATGGGCACAATGATGATGAGATCCGTGAGAGCTCATAGGCGAGGGCATCGATGGGTCCATGCGCTATGCTCGGTGAGCTTGTGGGTGAGGATATGGATAGGTCAACTCATGTATGTGATGATATCTATTAGAGTTGAGAGAATACTAAATGTTATAAATAATGAAAATTTGATGTTAAAAATGTAAAACCTAACATTTTATATGCAATGTTTGTAAATCTTATATTTTTATAACATATTTTATGATTTGCCTCTTATCATTAAAAAAAAAAAAAGAAGCTCTTATCCACATTTCTCTTGAAAAAGACCTTCCAAATCCACCCATTTTCAATCTATCTGCCAAACTAGCATTCCAGTTGGATGAGCCAGAAAAAGAGGAAACATAGCGTTAGTAAGAATGCTATGTTTTCTCCAATTTTCTTCTCTCTTCCTGCAAAAGTTGGCTTCCTCTTATCGATACTCCCATCTCCCTTTATATTTCTCTCTCTCTCTCTCTCTCTCTCTCTCTCTCCATCATTAGTCCCTGCTAGCCTCTTTTTCCCCTTCCTTTCCCTTCACAGGAATCAACAGCCTCGGCAGCCTGCCGATCGTGTCCTTTTGATGATTCTCACAACGTTTTCATCTCCCTATTCATGAAGCCTAGCGTATCGCCGGCGCCGGCGCCGGCTAACCGCCCTCGCCGCCGGCCAGACCTCACTCTCCCCATGCCCCAGCGTGACCCTTCCCTCGCCGTCCCCCTTCCCCTCCCCCCTCCCTCCTCAAACTCCATTCCGACTCCCCCTTCCACGATCGGTCAATCCCTCCCCACCCCAAGCTTCTCCGACCTCGAACGCATCCGCCGCATCGGCAGCGGCAGCGGCGGCACGGTCTATATGGTCCGCCACCGCACCACTGGTCGAATCTTCGCACTCAAAGTCATCTACGGAAACCATGAAGAGGCAGTACGCCGTCAGATCTGCCGCGAGATCGAGATCCTTCGAACGGCTGACAACCCCTTCGTGGTCCGATGCCACGGCATGTACGACCACGCCGGTGAGATCCAGATCCTCCTCGAGTTTATGGATGGCGGATCCCTCGATGGCAAAAAGATATCGTCGGAACGCTTCCTTGCCGAGGTCGCCCACCAGATCCTCACCGGCCTCGCTTACCTCCATCGCCAAAAGATCGTCCATCGCGACATCAAACCCTCGAATCTACTAATCAACGCCGCGCGTCAGGTCAAAATAGCTGACTTTGGAGTGAGCCGGATCCTGGCGCAGACCATGGATCCCTGTAATTCTTCGGTGGGGACGATCGCATACATGAGCCCGGAGAGGATCAACACCGATCTGAATCATGGGATTTATGATGGATATGCTGGTGATATATGGAGTTTTGGTCTGAGCATATTGGAGTTCTATTTAGGGAGGTTTCCTTTTGGGGAGAAATTGGGGCGGCAGGGTGATTGGGCAAGCCTTATGTGCGCTATCTGCTACTCGAATCCTCCGGAGGCTCCACCGACGGCATCGAGAGAGTTCAGGACCTTCATTTCTTGTTGCCTCCAGAAAGAGCCGGCACGCCGCCTTACAGCTGCACAACTTCTGCAGCATTCTTTCATCACCCAGCTTCAGCACCCGCCATTACAGTCATCTTCATCATCCTCTTCCAACTCCTCTCATCCATGAGCATTAGCTTCCCCGTGAATTGAGTTGGTTGAACGATGCTGGGCGGCGATTCGAAGGTGTGTTCACACCCTTTTTTGGCATTTGATTTTAGTTCTTTGCCACTTTTATCATATATCATTTATGGAACTTTACTTCTATCTTTAGCTCCTATCAAAAATGGGATTTTTCCCCTTATTCCTGATTTCTTCTATCAAGATCTTCATCTCTCCGCATGAATATGGTGACGAGGAGCCGGTAGTGCTGGACCTGGTTAGGAATGTTATTGAACTATGGGTTGGGATGGATTCCCTCTGCTATACGTTATGATGTGATCAACTGATGAACTATTGTAAGGAGGAACAGCAATTTGCAAGTGGGAGAATCAATTCCTTCTCTTTTCTTTCTGTCTAAAATTTGTGTGATGCTTCTTTATTTGATCACATTGCGCTTCTCATCTGCAAGTCCTGGATAAAATTTTGATCTTTTGTCAGCGAGATTCATGAGATTCAAAGAAACAAGTGAAAAATGCTTTAGAAGATTGAAGAACCAAATTGAGCTTGGGATTCGGAATCTTATTCTATTCCTCAATAAATAACTTATGGTTACTATTTCTTAGCTGAATTATCTTATCCTGGGACAGGGGCTGGGTTTGCCTTTCTGTTGTGGGAGATTTTTCTGTCAGCTTAGCTCGACAAAATAATTATAATAATAAAAAAATTAAAAAAAAAATCTATTTTGTTTATGATTATGATTAATATTGATCACTATTAATGCTAAAAAGTAATTATAACAAAATTTTCATCACCTAAACTGATAGAAAATATCTCTTTTTCGTAACAAATTAACAGCTTCTTGAAAGCAGCTCTCTGCAAATGAAAAGGATTTGTGGTTAAGCTACAGGAATGTACAGTAGCCGTTATCATTGCAGAGGTGTGATGCGCTGTTGGATTATGTTAAGTGATTATTGCTCATTATTACTGATTTTATTTGGCAAAAAATTTTCTTTTTTTGGAATTAGTATTATGTTTGGCTGCGTGTCGTTATTGTGGTTGGAGATCGTTGTTTCCTCGTGAAATCTACGATCAACAGGTTTAGCTTACTTAGTACGCACTCATAACTTATTTCAATGTAACTCTTTTGGCGTCCGATTTGAAGCTGTCTGTTGGAAAAGGTTCCTCCTTTGATTAAGCGAATTGTTACGGCTAAAGGTCTGTTCATAGGCTTCTTGGTGCGAACAGTTCTAGTTCATTGATAGGTTTTTTGGTCTTCACATTACTTTAAAGACTGATTTCTTACTGCTTCTTAGAACAAGTTTCTAGTCTAAAAATTTTTGTACTAAAAACTGCTTTAAGAAACAGTAAGAAAGTCATCCCGAACGAAATCTTAATCTCTCCACTATATAAAATTGATCCAAAATATTTTTCATACTATAATTATATATATATATATGAAGAACAGGAGCCCTATCAAATGAGACCTAAGTTTTAGAAAGCTATTTTATGACGGCGTCTGGAGACGAATGAGAGCAAGTCATATCACTTTTTTGTTGTGTACCGGTGCTGTGTACTTGGTGGCGTTTAGGGTTTAATTAGAAGTAAAACAAATTTTTTCGCCCTTTATTACGGCCTTCAGTTGCTAGAGGTTTTAAATAGTTTCATATCTTAATGGCCTAATCATAGTTAGGGACAGGATTGCCGCTCCAGATTTAGTAGGCTAAAAAGGCATCCGACTGTGTAAAGGCATTTAAACAGCCTTAACTTTAACTATCTGTGTCTTGCTTTGCATGTTTTGTTTTTTTTTTAGGGGGGTGGGGGGATTTTGGGGCATAGCCCGTTTCATTGAAATAAAATGCAAATACAAAGTCCAACTAAAAAGTAAAAAAACAAAATAAAGGAAAGAAGACAAAGCTACCACCAACATTCTATAACAGATATAGAATGTGGAAAATACAAATTCAGAAAAACTTGAACAAACAAATAATTAAACAAAAACCCCGGGTCGATCTGAATTTCCAGCTACTCGATCAAGCAGGGAATAGCAAGTCCTGCTCCAAACTCCCAGTGATGCACAAAATTAATAACATAACAGAAGATTAACAGATGAGAGGCCTTCTGCAACTAAAAAACCAGAGGAGAAATGAATAAATGAACTGAATCCACAGTCAAGCCAGAGAGAGTGCACTCCGGTACAAAATTCGAAGAATGATAGTGTGAAAAAATGCTTCGCCACATCAATCCTCAGTATCTCCAAAAGCTCCAGGTCTTGTGTTCATGAAATTTAGTCCATATCAGGTCCAACCAGGAGAAAGGTTGGTAAATCAAAGGAGAAAAACTAGAGTGCTCAATAAGCCTTTCCAAGCCATCCCACGAGAAGAAACTTCTCAAATCCAGTCAGTCAGTAAAGCATCCCCCACAAAAGAAATTCTTCAGCAGCGTCCCAAAAATGAACCTCGCAAAAAAGAGATAAACCCAGGATTAAGAAAGAATTTCTGGAAAAAGATTTTGAAGATCCTCAAAATTTTTCCAGGTTTTTACTTTCAATTTAATACTCTTTCTAATAGTAAAAACCAAAGTTAAAGGCGAGACCCAGAGGTCATTGAAACGCCTCTTATTTCTCTCCATCCAGATGAAATAAACCACTTCATAAATAACCAAGTAGCAGAAAATCTTCACACTATTAGAAAAACCTTGGTATGACATTCTTGATCTTTGTTACAGCAACTACAGGCAATAGGAGTAATAATATTCCTTTTAAGCAAAATGTCTGCAGTTTTAAGCTTCCCCATGATAGCCATCCAAGTGTAAACAGAAAATCGAATAGGATTCTTTTTATACCAAATATATTTATGCCAAGAAATCTCAGGCATGTCACTATAGAAATTATCTAAGAAGTTGATATTAGTCGGTTTTGGCAAGCCATCCCAGTCCAAAAACGGTTGCTTTCCAATATCAATGTTAAGAATTTCCTCTTTAACGATTCTAGGAATATCATGAGAAAGCCTCCAGTTCAGATCCTGGGTAAAGTTCTTTACCGGCACAAAAATATCACACTCAGGATTAATAAGATCAGCAATAGCCTTGCCATTGCACCAGGGGTCCCAATAGAAAGAAAAGCTGTTGTTCGTAGTAATGTGAAGATTTAAATTATTCTTAATCTTTCTAGCCACAGAGCAAATCAACTTCCAGAACTTAGAGGCCCCAGTAGGCGAAGGATTCCAAGGAGAATCATAATTTCCTCTATACCATACAGCAAGAGCATTATCTCTAGAAAACATTCTCCAAATAAGAGAGCAGGTAAAACTGTGATATAATGCATTAATAGAAGGTAATCCCAAACCTCCTGCTTTCTTAGGGCTGCACACCGTGGACCAAGCAATCAGGTGCATTTTTTTGTAATTGGAATTACCATGAAATTGCATGTTTATACAAAGTGAGCACTAATGATCTTAATTGTTTTGGCCTAATTTGTTTATTAAATTAAACTTTAAAGCAATAAATTTCATATATTTTTTTTTATAAATTTTTTTGTTATAATAAACTTTAAAGTAATATGATATTCCGAGTAATTTTTTTGCTATAATAAACTTTAAACCTTTAAATGTTTTTTTTTTTCAAATGAGTGCAATAAAAATTATTGGTGCATTGAATTCATCTAAAAACAGATCTAATGGCATTAAAGCCCATTTTCACTTTTTTTTTTCTTGTAATCATACTTGAAAATTAAATAAAAATTTTCATTCTTAAATTTACTAACCACCTCAGTCTTTGGACTTGATTTTCTCGTTTCTTATTGGAATGAAATATTTTTGGATGTTCTAAGAAGATAAATAATTTTTTAATAAATTTCATGTCAGTAATTTTATTTAATTTTAAATCTAATCACTTTAAAATATATAAAAAATCTAAACCTAAATATTTTCAACCTTTAAAATACTTGAAAAGAGATGAACTAAATATAGAAAGATTCATATGTCATGATCTTTATAACATATAAACATAAAATATAATAAAATCAAAATATTGAATCATCACAAATAAAATATTTTGAAGATGTTTGCCAAATTCAAAATTAAAATGATTTCTAAGTGCACAAAATCAAATAATATATAGTATGTCATTAGTATTCTAATTATTGCGGTCTGAAAAATTCGCGGCGGTAGATTAAAAATACTTTGTCTTAGCGATATACGAAATCTTAGCACACAAACATATGATAAAAAAACCCATGATTTTTACGTGGAAAACTCTGAAAAAGAGAAAACTCATGTGGCCTTGCCTAGCTAGTCAAAATAGTTCCACAAGTATTTGAATAGATTACAAAAGTCAATCCATCCTCCAACCTGAAGATAGAGATAGTTTGTGTGCTGAGATTTTGTATATCGCTAAGACAAAGTATTGTAAAGCTTTGCTGATCTTCTAACGAGTACTATTTGTGCAAAAGTCTAGAGATAGTTTGGAATATGGCTGTCAAAAGCGGGTTTCGGGTCCGGGTCAAACCCGAATATGACCCATAAAAATGGGTCGATTTTTTGGAATCGAGCCCGATCTGCTTTGGGTCATGTTCAACTCGCAACCGACCCGCTTCTTTTATGGTTTACTAAATATTTTTATTTAATTTGATTTATTTAAACCTAAATCAAAATTTAAAATAAATCAAATTAAGGTATGATTTCCTTAAATAAATTTAAAATAAATCAAGCTTAATTCAATTTGGGCAACATGGTTTATTACTTTTTGGAAATACCATTTACTTATTTCATAGCAATCTTCTAAAACCCTCCTAAATCAATTAAAAACTGGTCAAACAAGGTTGATTGTGGGTTTCCGAGTCAACCCCATCCCGACCCGATTTTACACACGTGTCGAAATCCCTAACCCGAACCTGACCCGATTCGAGTTTAGGTTGACCCGACCCTGAAATTTTTGGGTCAGTTTCGAGTCAGGTTTTCGGGTGTGTCAAATATTGACACCTCTAGTTTGGAAGAGAACTTCGACGACGGTCGAAGAGAACTACGGTGGTGGTCAAGAAGAACTTTAATGGTAGTTGAGAAGAACTTTGATGGTGGTCTGGAAGAACTTTGGCGGTGGTCAGGAAAAACTTCAGTGGTGGTCGACGGTAAAAGAGCTCTCCAAATCTTCTCTTCCCCCCCCTTCCTTCCCTCTTTTCTTTTTCTCTCCCCCCTTATGTGAAGCATGGGGGCTATTTATAATTTTTTTTTTTTTGAGTAGCATGACTTGTAAATATGGAGAAGATCAAGATCAAGTTGTGAGTGCTAGGATGGATGACATATATCGGCTCCCTTGATCAAAGAACGTTGACCGAGCATTTAAGTGTTTTAATAATGTCAAATTTTTATGATCTTTGGGCTTGTTAGATTCGTCTTGTGGAGCCACTCGATTCGACTATAAGCAAGTCATATTCGACGATCACTTTGTTATCCAATTAATGCTTTGAACTCTCCAAATATGCTTTGGACCATTGATTCGAGTCATTTGGGTTCAGATTAGACTGATTTTGATGTCGTTGAGTTCGTCTCTTCGAGATGTTCAATTCGACTATAAGTTTATTAAAACCAGAGCTCGGATGATTCATATTTTAATTTTAGAAGTTTTTTGTATGGATATGCCTCAAGATTTGTGCCCGATCAAGTTTTTTTTTTTTTTTTTTTTTTTGGACCATTTTTGTTATATATTGCTAATTTTAAAAAATTACATCATCTAACTTCAAACAACCCAATAGCCCCCTTATAAGTTGTAATGATCTCAATAAGTATGAAGCCTTTACTTGCGCAGGAAAGAGAGAGAGAGAGAGAGAGCTCGAGCTTCAATGAACATTGAATTATGAATAGTCAAAATTATGCAGATTTTCTATAGCTTTTCCTTACTTTGATTAGACACTAAAGTAGTTAAGACATGAATGAAATGAAACAACCAATATGAAAAAATCACCTCCATAAAAAGAAAATCCTCTATCATTTTCTTTGAATTTCTTCTAATGATTTTTAATTGATCTAATATGTTTGTCTTGTTATACAAGAGATAAGGATTATCATGGTTTCATAGAGAAAATTAGCAGGAATTTGACAAATCATGAATTATTATATAGAAAGGTGGCTAGAAAACGGGATTTATATGGTAACAAAGAATAACTCAATGGAAATATTTCAACAGTTAAATATAATTTAGGATCTTTATATTGTGAATGTGCTTACGGCTTTTTGATTTTATACTTCGCCAATGAATAATTATTTGATCAATAATGAGTGGTCATGATCTCTGAGATTAAAGGATTATCAATGATTGATTGCTAGAGATATTCAATACAGTATAATATTGATATTATAAAATATTTTAGAGTTATTTAATTAAATGTACAATAAATATAGAAATTTATTTTTTATGTAGGACATGAAGTAAAATAAATTTAGCATGAAATAGAAATAGAAAGTAACGGCAGTCGTAGGGCGTTGACATACGATGACGATATGATTGTAGTGGCTGACAATGACGATGGCTTGTGGCGATGGGGTGGTTATGTTCGGCGATTAGAGGCTAGCGACAACCAAAGTGTTGCAATGACGAGCAACGAGCAACTGGCTGCAGTAGGGTGGCGAAGGTTTGTGGCCATAAGTTGTTAATCACCAGCAATTGGTGATGACGATCAGAGGAAATAGATAGTGGTGGGTGGGGGTCACGGGTCGACCCGTTTTAAAAAACTGGTTGGGTTCGGGTTGACCCGAATAATGTCGGGTTAGTCTCGGTTTCGACCCAAACCCGACCCGTGACCCGAAATTGACACCCATACATACAGAGCTCATCTTGATCAATTTGTTACTTGTGAGTTTTGACTCTAAATTAAAAGATTTTGAATTCAAAAAATGAATATATATTATATATGCATAAATTTAATTTAATTCACTCAAAAGTAAAAAAAAAAAAGTACTTAACATTTATGACTAGCATTAAATTTCTATTTAAATCTTAAACTTCTTGATCGTTCCATATTAATTTAAATATAAATTTAATAATTTTTGTATTCATTTTCATATAAATATTATCTCAGAATACTCTGATAATTATTTTCTTTGTTTATTTGATTGTTTGGATGTGACTTTAACTAATATTTTTTCCCTGTAAGTTATTATTAACTTCACTTTCATCGGTCTCCGCGGTCGCTCCCGACGTCATCTCGCCTACGCCGCCGGCATTCGTTGGCTTCCATCTGGTTGCGCCGGCAACGACCACCTAAGGTAAATTTCCTCTACTCTCTCGCTTCCCCTCCCCTTCTGTCGGTGATAACCTTGTTCAGTTGCCATCCTTTCTCCTCTAATGAAGTGATGGTTTCAATATATTATTTTGGCTAGTGATTACTCTCAGCGAAAACTAAACACTGTTTGAAGATTGTTTGTAAAAGTTTATTGCCTGTGATTGATTTGGTTGCATTTGGTTTCCGGTGCTGGAGTTTCTTTAGCACCATAAGGAGAAACCTAGATGCATTTTATGTTTCTTATGCTTGGATTATTTTTCTTCATTTTTTGCTGGAGTTAATAGAGCGGATGCTTGAATTGGTGGCGATATTCAGTTAAAATACTTGCTTAGGTCACAAATTTAGAGTTAGTTTTTTTTTTCCTTTGCATTTCTTGGTTGTGCCCGCATTTGATGAACGAAGAAACGGTGATGTAATACCATAGTTGTGTAGAAGGTCAGCATTCTGTTTGTGGAAATGTGTCAATGAACCCCACATTTCTCTGGATTGGAGTTATGAGTTTTATACGTTAGCTATTGATTTGATGTTTCAATAGGTGTTCTGATATCCATCTTTTATATGTCTGTTATGAGCAGTTTGATTGATCTTCTCATCATTATAGTTACCTTACATGAACCTGGATAAATTTTATGATATGTTTCATCTTGATCATCCCTTCTTCTGGAGCACGTCTCCTGGAAAGTACTTAAGTTTACTAAGTTGTTATCTCCCACCAGAAAATTTTGAGAATTTCTCAACTTATTTAACAACCAGCATATTATCATATTGAAAAGATCATTTCCTGCATTTTACTATACTTGCTTCTTATAAAGCTATTATTGTGCTTTAAATTTGTTTCATGATGCATTTCCTATTGTATATTAGAGAAGGATTAGTGTCTTATTTGCACTTTTGCAATTTGGGTTCCATTCTTAAATAGAAAAAGAAAATGCAATTCTTTCTTGTAATTAATTTGGACTTGGACCAGCAGAAATTTGAAGGACACCATATTTTACAGTGCTCGTGCTGCGATGACTGTTTCCACTCTATTTTCCTGTTCTTCTGGAAATGGATTGCAAATTTCAAATGCATCAACAAACTTATTTTCTGATGTGAAGCCTTCAATTTCCTTATACAAGTCTCCACTCTTTCTCAAGCCCTTTAATAAATACAAAAATAACTCAGTTGCATGCCTTAACACCAAGGGGCTCTTGGTAATGGGTCATTCAAGAAGTCAATTTTTATTCAGAAGTCAATGCTCCTCGGTTGAGGTTGGAAATTTACCTATAACAGCAGAGCCAAAGTTTCAACTTGTTGACGTAATCGAGTCCCAACAGTTTGATAGAGATACCTTAGATTATATATTCAAAGTGGCTCTTGAGATGGAATCAATTGAGAAGAATTCATCTGGAAGCAAGATATTAGATGGTTTCTTAATGGCCACCTTGTTCTATGAGCCTTCAACAAGAACTAGACTTTCCTTTGAATCTGCAATGAAAAGGTTGGGAGGGGAAGTTTTGACAACTGAAAATGCAAGAGAATTTTCTTCAGCAGCAAAGGGAGAAACTCTTGAAGGTATTGTAGTTTGCTTCACTCATGACAAGTACTCCTGAATTTCCTTGCGGTTGATGACCAAGAAAACTTCCTACAGACACTATAAGGACGGTTGAAGGATACTCTGATATAATTGTGCTACGTCACTTTGAAAGTGGGGCTGCCAGAAGAGCAGCTGCTACTGCAAATATTCCAGTTATTAATGCCGGAGATGGCCCAGGACAGCATCCAACGCAGGTTTGTTTCTGAGCAAAACATAATATTTATCTCATCATTTTATGGTACCCTTTTGTTTAAATTTTTCAGCATAATGCCATCAAGGTAAAATCTATAGTTTGCCCATCCATTTTTCTTTAGTTTAGTGTGACCAGTCTTTTGAATCTTCTTTTGCATACTTTTCCTTTTTTATCGAAACATAATTAGTTGTTTTTAATGAAGTATAGTGTATACTCTTCCTATTCAGTTTTTTTTTTGGTTGGCTGATCCACAATTGTTAATGATTTTATAGTGCATGTTCTGATTCACAAATAGAGAACGCATGTGATGGTAGCTTTGGTTGATTAGTTTGTGTTGAACCAATTTCATAGTTGGAAAGCAGCTTGGTAGTCTGCTTAAATAAGAACAAGAAATATATCAAAGTACCACTGTAAGATTGACTGTGTTGGCCTGAGGGAGTTTTTGTTATGAGATATTGACCTCAGGTCAAAACACTGTAAATTCAATAATAGGCAGAGATGAGGATGCTCAGGTGGATGAATGGCTTTACCCTTAGAGATAGGATACGAAATGAGCATATACGTGAAAAGGTTGGAGTAGCTCTAGTAGAAGATAAGATTAGAGAGAGTCGCCTTAGATGGTTTGGTCACATAAAAAGGCGGCCTTCCGGTGACCTGGTTAGGAGAGTAGAGGTATTAGATTTGACTTGGGTTAAGAAAGGTAGGGGTAGACCTAAAAAGATTTGGTTAGAAAATATTATGAATGATCTTTCTTTATTAGATTTAAATGAGAATTTGACTTTTAATAGGACACAATGAAGAAAAAGGATTCATGTAGCCGACCCCACGTAGTGGGATAAAGGCTTGATGTTGTTGTTGGGGACACAAATTATTAATTTTAAAAATATACTCTACTTTTTTCATCCGTGCTTGAACTGACATTGGGGGTTATTTTTTTTTTAAGAATTATCATTATTAAAATATAATTATATGATTAAGAAAAACTTATAATTAAAAATGTTTTCTTTTCATATTCTCCTTACATGTTACATACAAATTTTCTCTCTTAATCTTCATATTTTGAAATCATTGTACAATTATTTCATTATCAATACTATTAAATATATCTTTCTCGGTATAAGTGATCAAACAATCATTCATTCTTTAATCTCCCATATGGTGCATAAATGATTATTTACAATCTTCGCACCAAAGAATACTATTTTAATAATGTTGTAGTAATAAACAATATCATAGCAAGCTTTATAGGTAGGAATACAAAAAGATAAATGTAATTTTTTTTATTCTTCACTAATTTTTTAGCAAATTTTTCAATTCCTTTTAAATTCATGAATGCATCACTTGATCTCATATCAATGATAAAAATTTTAATTTTGTTGTCTAATATGATGAGATTTATAATTGAAAAATCTGATGGATAAAATTTAATTTGACATATCAATCTTTCCTTGTCAAAAATTGAAAAATTAATCATATGGATTCAAGCATGCTAGACAGATAAGTAACTCTGCATTTATTTTATCTTATTTATTGTTTTCCTATGTGTGGTGATTTTATGACGATCCATATTTTAAATGATGAGGCGTGTGAGATAATTTTATTGAAGGCTAGATGACAAGCACTAGTTATATATGTTGAAATAATGCAAGTGCCGTTTCAACTTATTGACTTAGCCAACATTAAAACACAATCAATAATATTTTGTCTACCACTAATACATACGAAGAGACGCAAGATCTTATGATATTATTAGCTAACATAAACTTATCTGAGCAACAATATAGACTAGTGGTTTGTCTCAATGAGACGCATTGTTCCAAGCTTGAAATGCTTCATCATACGTGCACTGATGATGATATCATTTGTAGGTATAAGACAATGGAGAGTGATTCAGACGTAGAATCAAGTAGAGAAGGTCATGAAATATTTTTGCATTATTGGTTAGGCACGCCAACGATGAAACTAATTTCTTACACTCAAATGATTCTTCATTTGCACAAAGGACCAAAAGTGTCATCCATAAATGTGAGACCACTGCTAGATGCTTCCTTGAACCAGTTTACATCAACATGTTCAAATTTTAAGTATTGACTATTGACAGTTCCAGTAAATCATACCATGTTCAATTTAACAATTCTGGTGAAAATGCAGTTGCATGCGTAATCGACCATAGGCATATCATATCCCATATGCTATCTCCATTCTTGGAATTCGAAGACTGAGGCTTCGTTTAGGGCAGCTTTCTTATTGCTTCTTAAAACAAGTTTGTAGTAAAATTTTTGTACTAAAAAGCCGCTTTAAGAAGCAGTAAGAAAGCCATCCCAAATGAGGCCTGTCATGCTAATAGTTCATGTTATTGCCAAATGAGGTACTTGACTAGACTTTGCTCTGTAAATGCTATTATTGAATTGTTGCCGTCTGCTTACATAGGTGTGGAGTGGTTGACCACGTGTAAGGAGCTATATGGTTAGACTTTACTGTATCGTATGTGTTGCATTGCATATTATCACACCTGATAAATAAATCTAATGCATTAGGCTATCAAGGTGTTTAAGCAGTGCTTTATGGTAGGTTTCTCTTCTGCATTTCTTTGCTCCATTCTGGAGAAATCAGGAGAATGATCAGAATAAATATTGTTAACGTTCCTTTGAAAACTAAGTTTGCAGGGATAGATTCTACTCCAAACCACTTCCAACAAGTGAAATTCATTATTTTATTACAAAAGAAATTCTAGAATTTGTTCTTCTCCTACTGAATGCTCAGGCTTGGAATATGACAATTCCCCAATATCTTTTTGGTTGTGCCAGGCTCTTTTAGATGTGTACACAATCGGAAGAGAGTTAGGTAGATTTGATGGAATAAAGCTGGGTTTGGTTGGTGATCTTGCTAATGGAAGAACAGTTCGTTCGCTGGCTTATTTGATTGCAAAGTACCAAGATATCAAAATCTACTTCGTCTCCCCTGATGTTGTGAAGATGAAGGTAAAGGTTTATCTAGAACAACTTACTGATTCAAATAGATGCAACATTGACTAGCATATCAATCAGATATTCATCACCATCACCATTAACCTTATCAACACTATTTGAGTCTGCTTAGTGCAATTAGATTACTGCATAACAGCTAAAAGATCTTGTTGAACTATGCCTATTAAGTAAACAACAGTGATTTTCTAACTCAAGCTTCTTTGGGACGACTTTCTTTCTGCTTCATAAAGCAGCTTTTTAGTACAAAAAGTTGTACTAAAAAGTTGTTTTATGAAGCAATAAGAAAGCCATCCCAAACAAGCCTTCATATAGATGATCGCTTACTCTATTGTTGTTTTTAATGAAAACGCATTGTTATAGGATGACATAAAGGACTATTTGACATCAAAGGGCGTCGAATGGGAAGAAAGCACTGATCTATTGGATGTAGCATCAAAATGTGATGTTATATATCAAACAAGGATTCAGCGAGAAAGATTTGGTGAGAGAATAGATTTGTATGAAGCAGCTCGTGGAAAATACATAGTGGACAAGGAAGTTTTGAGTGTTATGCCAAGGCATGCAGTTGTGATGCATCCCCTTCCTAGACTTGACGAGGTAAGTCAAAGTTCTATCACATTATCTTCATATCTTCTTCTCATCATAAACCAAAATGTGTATAATATTTTGCAGATTACATTGGAAGTGGATTCTGATCCCAGAGCTGCTTATTTTAGACAAGTAAAGAATGGACTTTACATAAGAATGGCTCTTTTAAAGCTTCTACTTCTTGGTTGACAATGAAAGGAAGTTTAACTCTAAAACAATTGCACCCAGTGAAAATCACTGTGATCTGAGAATGAGAAGAGAGATTTTTTTTTTATTTGCAATATCCGTTTGTTTGGATTTATGTTCTCATAGTTTATTAGATGAGTTTTGATTACATCTTGAAGGATTGTTTTGTTCTAAGAACCAGAGTGGACTTGTATCTTATTTTTGCTCCTCTGGATGAGACTGAGTCGAATCCTATTTTTCTACATGAGTGAGCAAAATGCAAACTATAGCGAATTTACTCCTTTTTCAGTTGATTCTTTTGATGGCTAGTAAAAAGATTCAAGTCAGTGAACATTTCTCCATAATAAGTCCAAGTTCTGCTTATTTATTTCATTTGGTATCTTTTTGGCTCTACTATGAGCAGACAACAGTGGAGTTCTCAATTGAAATTCACAAAGTATATTAAAAGGTACCTTGTGTTTTATGTTTTTTTTTTTTTTTTGCTTATATAGTTTGTCATTCTTTCCTTGATTTTGGTGAGAGAGAGACTTTATCATATTAGTATTGCATAAAAATTTCACAAACATACTAATAAATGAGTTCAGAAAAACTCCCAAGAGATCGGAGATTTTTTACTTGAAAATCACGTGAAAGAGAAAATTTTATGGGGCTTGAATTAGTTGAAATAATCTTAGTAATGTGAGTTGTAGTTTATAAATGGTGTCATTTTGCATAATTAGACAATATAATGATGCAATATAGTAGATATAAATGGTGAAAGATGATTTTAATGGTGGAAGTAAGAGCCTTGAGGCTTTAGAGTTGTCATCAAAATATTATTGGAGATTTTTTTTTATTATTCTCTTTATTGGTGGGGAGACGGTTGATTTTGAGAGAAAGCATCTACCTTGGTAGTGCATTATCTTTGTTATCAACGATGGGCGACATCATTGGTGCTTTTATTTTTATGGAAAGGGCATTGAACGATTTGCATCAACTTTATTAATGATGATTGACATCAGTGCTAGTTTAGATGGAAAGTATCGGCCTTGTTAGTAATGATAGTTGTTAGAGTTGGTGTTAACGATAAGCATTAAACTTATTGGTGATTATGCGTATATGTAACCATGATTGTTACCCATATTCACAATAATATGTGGTGTTTGTATTGATGATGGGTCTTGCCCTTATTGTCGACATTGGTGTTGACACAAACGTCATGGCTTGACATTGCAAACAAGCCAACTCCCATCATTGACACTCACCGTCGACTCCAACAATGGTGCTCATTCTGGACACCGTCAATGCCCACCTATAATGCAAATTGTGACGGCCATCGTTGACTTCAATGTCTATGTCAATCATGGCCTACAATGCTAACACTTTATTGACGCCAATGCTAATGTCCATCATCGCCAACAAGATTCTCGCCCACTATCAATATCATGATCGACACTTACTCTTTCTAATAAGGCATATACTCATTGTCAAAGCTTATGCATATGCTTTTCATTGCTCATAAGGATGACATACATCATTGACACTAACGTCAAATTTTGTTTTCACTTTTCACCAACAAAGTTGGCAATCATTGTCAAAAACTAATGCAGATGCCCGTTGTTGCTAATAAGATTAATAAGGTGATGCTCGTAGTCAACTTTAACGCAAATGAACGTTGCCAATACGGTTGATGCTCGTCAACAACATCAATATGAAGCTTGTTATTGCTAATAGAGTTGATTATCACCGTCGCCGACAACCCAACTTCCCATCATCCCATCATTGCCAATAAAGTAGATGCCCATCCCCCATACGAATGCTAACTCTTATCATTTACAAACATCAATGTTTCCCATCGCTGAGAAGATTGATGTCTTTTATCATCAATAAGGTAGATGACAGATATAACATCCGCAAGCAATCATAGCAGGAAAAAACATTAGCAAGTAGCAACAAGACAGGGACACATCACATAACCCTTTAAGAAAGAGAAAACATTCTGGGAATAACTGCAGCAGGAAGACCAATGGATAGAAAAACAGTTCAAAAGACGGTTTGAACCGACAATATTTTACATGGAAACCCCTCTCTATGCTCTTCTCATCTCAGCTGTCTATTAAATACAATGAAATAGTAAATACTTTTGAATAGCCCAGAAATATCTAAGGGAATCCAAAAAGATCATTTTGTATCAAGGATTCTTCCTTTCAATAATGCTTGTCTCGGTTCTTTAAAGCCAGCTATTATTTTCTTTTATAATCCTCTCGCTCTTGCTTGCTCCAAAGGTATGTAAACTCATTGCTACAAGCCAAAAATATCCGAAATTGGGATAAATGACAAACCTTACATTGACACTAACGTCAAATTTTGTTTTCACTTTTCACCAACAAAGTTGGCAATCATTGTCAAAAACTAATGTAGATGCCCGCTGTTGCTAATAAGGTGATGTTCATACTCAACTTTAACGCAAATGAATGAATGTTGTTGCCAATACGGTTGATGCTCGTCTATGACATCAATGTGAAGCTTGTTATTGTTAATAAAGTTGATTATCATCATCATCAACAACCCCAATTTCCATCATTGCCAATAAAGTAGATGCCCATCTCCAACACAAATGCTAACTCCTATCATTCACAAACATCAATATTTCCCATCGCTGAGAAGATTGATGTCTTTTATCATCAATAAGGTAGATGACAGATATAACATCCGCAAGCAATCATAGCAGGAAAAAACATTAGCAAGTAGCAACAAGACAGGGACACATCACATAACCCTTTAAGAAAGAGAAAACATTCTGGGAATAACTGCAGCAGGAAGACCAATGGATAGAAAAACAGTTCAAAAGAACGGTTTGAACCAACAATATTTTACATGGAAACCCCTCTCTATGCTCTTCTCATCTCAGCTGTCTATTAAATACAATGAAATAGTAAATACTTTTGAATAGCCCAGAAATATCCATCGGAATCCAAAAAGATCATTTTGTATCAAGGATTCTTCCTTTCAATAATGCTTGTCTCGGTTCTTTAAAGCCAGCTATTATTTTCTTTTATAATCCTCTCGTTCTTGCTTGCTCCAAAGGTATGTAAACTCATTGCTACAAGCCAAAAATATCCGAAATTGGGATAAATGACAAACCTTATGGATTGTACAACTGGAACCAGAATCAGGTATTCAGCTCAGAACTGCTGGGCTTCTTCGGAATATAGAGGGATTCCTCAAGCATGAACGAGAGGTCTGGCATCTGAGCCAGCAGCATATCCACTTTGTATTGGGAAGCATCCAGATCAGAAGCATTAGGAGTATTCGCATTGATATCTGAACCGCTAGAAAGAGCGGTTGCGGTGCCAATTTTCTCATTACTTTGATTTTCCCTGCAAAGAGAAAAAAAAAAGGGAAAAAGAAAAACTGAGCTTTAACGAAAAATATGCAAAGCACGATGGTTGATCATTCCTACCTGCCAAGATTTCTAAACCTGAATTACAAACTAGGCTTCATTTGGGACGGCTTTCTTGATGCTGCTTTAAATAATTTTTTTAGTTCAATAATTAAATTTTTTTACTAGAAAGCTGCTTTAAGAAGCAACAAAAAAGTCGTCCCAAACGAAGCCTAAATAAGTAATGGATTTTATCCAAGATTCTTAAACCTAATTTTATCCCATGAAGAAAGCCAGCTATATAGATTTTGTTGTCAGTTGACCATCATGGTAAGATTGCTATAAGGGTGGTTCGGAGGCCGGATTACTGCAGGTTTGGGCGTGGAGCTCCAATAAGGTATTCAAATTTCTGGGTTATTTCACTAATAGCAATTAAATAAATGCAGAACATCTAATAAAGAGCTTTGACAGATAAAATAATAGTGAGGGGGAACCATTATTGCTTGCAAGGTTAGGTGAATTAGTTGAAAGGACAGCAAAGTCAACAATCAAAATGATTATGAAGAATATGGAGTTTCCTCTCATACCTGTTTGCAATTGAATCACCCCCTTGTTGTCTAGTATTGACATGATTTGGACTTTGCAGACCATTCAAAGCAGATGAAAATGAATCTGATTGTATGAAACAACCAAATTCCAAATCCTCTAAATCTCCTGAGTTTGCTTCTAAAGGAAGGACATGAACCTTGTCACTGGTTAGTGATTGCAAAACTGACAAATTTCCTGATGCATTGGTTGCAGTTCTAAAATCTTGCCAATCATCAAACAAGTCATCATCATGGTGATTAAAGCTTTTATTATTAATTTCATTTACACTTCTCTGCCATAAATCATCTTGAGTCCAGCTAACCTTCACAGAAGTTGTTTCTTTCTCTTCATTCTTAAGTTCACCTACAAAAATGCTACTACTAATACCGTCTAAACGACCGGTTTCCTTTGATATTTTTGGACTCTGAGACCACATTTCATTCTGAAGCCAATCATTATGTGAGATAGCCTCGTCTACTTCATGCGTTAGAACCCCACCAGTGTCATCATTGCTGGAATTATGCCCCATATTTGTGTTTTGATCTGACTTTGGTATGATAATTGGAGAGAAGTCTGCACCAGAATTCTGGAAATGATCGATATACCTTAACTCTTTTTCAACGGTTTCCAAATTTCTTGATTGAAAGCCTGCAGGACTCGGGAAAAGATCAACATGTCTTGAATCTGCTGCAACTGCTACAGAGTTTGCAGACTGAAAGTCCACAGAATTTTGCAAAAGATCGTTTGTTCTGGACTCCATGGCAAGAACTGTAGGATTCTCAGGTTGAAAGTTCGAAGAATTCTGGAAGGGATCAATTTTCTTGGACTCTGTTCCAACTGTTACATAATTAGCTGACTGGTAGCCAATAGGATTATGGAAAAGATCCATAGTTCTTGACTCAGTTTCAGCGGTGACTAATGTAGGATTAGCAGATTGAAAGTCTAGAGCATACTGTACGGGATCAATTTGTTTGGACGTGGCCTCAAATGTTGCAGAACTGGCAGATTGGAAATCGGTTTCCCAATCAGCAAAAGCATCATCCGAATTGCTACCTTCGGCATCAGCAGAACTATTTGCTACATCTAATGATTTCTGTCGTTCAGAAAAACTAAACTTTTGGGATCTGGAGGATAAATTGGCATGAGTAATTACATCCTGTTTTCTAGGCATAAATTGCTCGACAGTTGCATTCTGAGCACCGGAAACTGTTTCATTTCTTGTAACAGAGAAGGAACTGTCCAATTCAACTGAAAATGAGTTTGCACCATGACCACTCACTTGAGAAGTACTAGACCTGGAGGAAACCTCATTTTTCTGATCAGAGAAAAAATTATCCAAATTCACACCTGATAAACTTACAAGGGCTACCTGAGAAGGAGCCGCGTTGCTATTGCTATTATCAATTTCTTCTCTCTCTCTTGGCCACCTCAACTTCAAGTCCAAAATATTAGACAATGTCACCCCAACTTTCGGTGAATCCTTGCCCCTACTTGACTCTTTTGATTCAGCTTCCAAATTAACCACTTCCTGAAACATTATCATAAATTATTCTTTAGAAATGTACTTACATCATCTATATTTAAGATAAGATAATAGAAAATAAACTGAAGTCATTTGCACATGTACAACAAAGGCTAGAAAATACAAAGATAATATGTTTGAAAAAATTAATGTAAAAAAATTGGGAAAGAAAAAGGACTAAACCAAACCTAAGATTGTGCAAAACATTTTGCACACTAGATTTAACATCTCATACATCACTAACAAATGGAGAATGATATTCATAATCCAAGCTCAAAATATTTATGCTAAGGCTAATGATGATGAAGATGACAAATTTAGTTACAGAGACAACACATAAGCCTGTAATGTTTTTTGCACAAGAATCATTATATTACAATAACAACAACAATATCAAGCCTTTATCCCACTACATAGGGTCGGCTACATGACTAGCCTATCTGCATATTACTTAGTCTAAGGAACAGGAGTGCCATGTAAAAGTAATGTCAATGGAAAGATCTCATTAATTGGTGGATCAAAAAGCACTCAAAATTAAAATATTAATGTGTTGACAGTCCCCTCAAATTTCTATTCATAGGATGAAGTAAATGCAACCAAACTATGTTCTCCCATACCTTCATATCTAAAAAAAACAAAATTTCATATCCAAACTTTCAAGAGACTTCAAGCAAAAAGCTCTCCATGAGAATTTTGTTGTTTCTCTAGAAGCTGTGAAAGACATATATTGACACAACATAAACAATCCAAAGATGTTCACATAGCTAATCTTGAAAAATGTCAATATATGACATGAAAATAATTGGATAATTGACTATTTAAGTATATAACTTTTTAACAACTAAAAGTAACATCTCATACATAAGAACCACATATTATTACATATGACCAATTGTCAAGCACAAAATTAGAAAACCTTCAAGGGATGGATAAGATAAATCATAGAGGAAGAATAAATGAGAGAATTCAAAATGGGATTTATTGTGAATACAACCCAGTTTAAAGTAGCAAAGGATGGGTTAAACTTTGCTCAACACCTGCTCATAGTGTCCAAAGGATTTTAAAACAGTACTGAAATTTTCCTTCGAAAAAAAAAAAGAGATGCCAAATAGAAATAGTTCTTGCTATGTGAGAATCACCAATATCCAACATGATGTTCAAATCATAACAGCATCCTTCTAGAATTTTAACATCTCTATTTATGGATCATAGTATACTTTGATGCCATGCACATAAGATCCAATGAAACCTCTTCAAGCCAATAAAAAAATATACCAACACAATAACTAAACTAAGTTACGCTTCATGCTTAAAATTCAAAAGCCCATTGTATGCTCAGGCTAGATCTCAATAAAAATAAAAATCATTAAGCTTTTGAAGAATTGTTCATAAATGTTATCAAGCATTTGATTCACTTCCAATCACTTTTTCCTAATGATTAGGGTTACTAAGGCCAGCTCCAACGGAACTCCAAACCATTGTATGTCGTCCGCATTCAACTCCACCTGAACGAAAAATTCACCCATATCTTCGCAGAAGTGAACTGTGCGACGCCAATAATGGACTTTTGAAAAATAAAAAAATATTTGTCACACTATTCACAATCCCATTCCTTTTATTTTAAAAAATAAAAATTTATTGTAAAATGTTTGAATTTTAAATGATGATATTAAAATTTTTTTGTAGCTTATTCATAAGGCTGACCAAGTCTGTAATTTTAAAGCATTTTAAATTTTGATCTCAAATATATTATGTTATTAATTTTCTAATTTTAATATATTTTTATGTAATTAATTTATTTAAATTAGATTTTCCATTTGAAATAATTTAAAATGCAATAGCATAATTAAAATATAACATTAGCATAAAGAAAAATTACATGAAGTTGCGAAATAAATATAAAAGTACAACATATAGAGTTATCAAACTAACACAAAAACAAAATCAAATACTCAAAAAATGAGATCTAAAAATTACAAAATTGATAAAAACAAGCGATTTGTATGCACTAAAACCCCCAACATCCAAAATACATAGTAGACAATACAAACCATCAGATAGACCTTATCTGATTCAAGTGTGGTCCTCTTCTTCTGGTAGAAATTATTTTGGAATAGTTGATTCTCCCATTATTTCTTCCATAGTTGGATAAGAAATATTTAATCCCATCATTTTACATAAACAATACATGACATACTCTTCAACACCTACCTAAAAAAATTCTAGTGGCATGATTCTCACGCTTCTCAACTAGTCTTGCACGGAATTGACAAATAAATGCTCCGTCCTTTAAGATTCTCACGCTTTTCTACTAGTCCTGAACGAATTTAACAACTCAATTACCTCTATATTTTAGGATACGCTTCTCAACTAATCCTAAAAGAAATTGACAAATAATAATCTTTGTCCTTTAAGATTCTCACGCTTCTCTACTAGTCATGAATGAATTTGACAACTCAATTACCTCTACCCTTTAAGAGTATCACACTTCTCAACTAGTCCTGAACCGAATTGACAAATCAATGATCTTCATCCTTTAATATTCTCACTCTTCTCTACTAGGAATTTGACTACTCAATTACCCAATTTTAGAAATTTATCGCAAGCCATAGATAAATCAGGAATAAAGATGCCCACATCGCACAGCGAAATGCATTGATTGATTATTTGTGCAAGCAACATATTAATGTAATTTTCATTTTATTGAATAAATACTTATTTTATTTAGTACGTATTTTTATTCCAAATTAATTTATCGACTAAGATTTATTTTTTGTTAAAAAAATTATAAGTAGGCATAATTTGAAAATGTAGGTTCAAAATTATTAAGATGAAAATTATAATAAGTAGGTCTAACTTGTTAATATATTTATTTCAAAATATAGGTCCTTCATTATTAAGATGAAATCCACCTCCAAATGCATTATTGTTTAAGTGTAGGTTCTTCATTATTAATTTTTAAAAATTAATAATTTATAAACACATTATTTTAAAAATTTTAATATATTTTTAGTGTAATTAATTTATCTAAATTAGGTTTTTCATCTTAAATAATTTAAATTGCAATAGCATAATTAAGATACAACATTAATATAAAAATTAAGATAAAATTCCCATATAAATTTAAAGGATATCGAATAAATAAAAAAATACATAGTAGACAATACAAAAACAAACTAAAAAAAAAAGATACAAGAAAGAATATACACAGAATATTCCTTTTTGTATTATGAAATGGAGTTTGATTGGAGACAAGTTACTGCAGTTTGGAGTGTTACTGTATTTTGGAGTGGAAAATGAGTTTTTCGGATGGAGATGCCCCAAGTAACTTGAAGGTTTATTTATGTTGGTATATATTATCAAGCCATACTTTGAATCATGTGCTAAAACACTCAGAAAAAACTAGTAACGAAATTTTTAAAAACTTTTCTGAAAATATCCCTTTCATTGAGCTAAATAAGTTAATATTTTAAATCATCTTTTATTATTGACCGTCCCTAAAATGGTGTCAAAAACTAGTCGAACAAAGTTTAAATTTTGGTCAAAATATTCATTATCCGGATATGTCATTTTGGTCAACCAAACTAATTTTAAACTTCAAACCTAGCTGACCCACTAAGGAATAGTCTATTCTTGCCTACCAATAAGAAGCACATTTATTCACCAAACTAATTGACCATCACTTGGAAAGATAACTTTTTGATACTTCATAATTCTTAGTAAAAGATCTCAATGGGTGTAAACTAAATATGAGGACAGTTTTAGAGTTTAAAATCTCAAGGATGAAGGAAAAGCTTGAAAATGGAAATATTCAATAGTTGTTTCTTTGGAAAGCTTTTCCCTCCAATTGCTACCTGCTATCTTAATATGCTTCTTCTATAATATTTCCCAAGCTTAGGCATTAAATACCCTTGTGTTTTCTTTCAATCTTAGTTTTCACTTGCAAGCTCTTTTTTTTTTCTAACTTCTTTTTTAACAAATTTTTAGTAGATTTCTTATGTTCTTATTCTCAAAATATTTGAGTAGTGCTCTTGAGCTTCACTGGCTCACTCTCTTGAGAGTTTGAATAAGATTACTGCATTATATTCAAGTACATTTATATTATTAAAATAGATTTTAATTGGTTTTATGGGAAGTAAAAACAATAGTTTGGAAAATCTTAGGCTTCCAGTGGCAATCACTCCATTTTTTCAAATTCAACAGCTTTCTTATGCTCTTATTTGCTAAATCTTTGAGAAATGCTCAAGAACTTCTCTAGAATAGTCCCAGGGGATGTTTAGTCACATTATTTTGGCACATTCAAGCCTAACATTGACATTTACATTTACTAGCAATAGAGTTTGTTCAAATTATTGAGAATAACATTCAAAGGTTGGCAATTTTGTAAGGGTATTCCTCCTCTTCCTTAGGATTTCTTTGGTAATGAGGTGAGAAATTGCTATGTAAAATGCTGCTTCATGAAAAGCATTTTCAAAACTCCGTTCTAAAAGAATTTATTTAAAGCAAATTTCTAGAAAAGATGCTCAAATTGTTTCATGTAAACTAGATGCACTTGCTTTGCAAAAACATTCTGCTTGCATTAGGCAAGTAAACAACTATCAAATGAGCCTATGATCTCTCTTTTCTCCAAGAGTTGTTCGAATTACTAAATTTTCTATATTACTCTCCACCTTCTTTCTTTAAAAGAGGTACATCCTTAGACATTAAAAATGATAGATGTATTCTCATTGTCCTTGAAAAGGTAAAGATTGATGCGTTCACATTTAATCCAAATAATTAAATTGCACTCTACTACTTGAACCAAAAGGTAGTTTTCAGATTTTTCGGGAATCATGCTTGAAGAAGCCATTGATTACTAAAGGACGACTTCATAACGAAAAACATGGGGAGTGCAACTAGGCTCAAAATCCTAGTATTTATTTGCTCGTTTTACTCTTCCATATTCATTTAATACTTGCACATTTTTCACTTGCAATTTTCAATTACTTAAAAGTTTTCTTACATTATTTTTAACCTTTTGGGGTGGGTGAATAAATGTGATTAATGTGCTTTAAATTTCAATTTTCTAAAACACTCAATTTGCCATTCTTTGGTATGCACTAAGGCCAACAAAACCTTTTATGCAAGATGGCTAGGGTCCATGGGGTCATATTATTAAGTCAACAGAATATTTGATGTGGAGTGTGGACATAATTTCTGAATGGTTTATTTTATCATGAATATTTAAGTTTTTTAAGTTTTTTTAGATTTCATTATTTTATTAAGGTTTTTATCAAATTATATAAAGAAAATAGAAGAATCCTTTAAAGGATACAAAATGCTTAATACTTAAAGAGTTTATTTTATTAAAGCAAAATTGATGGGACTTAAATATTTCAGCAAATCCTAGCTACTCAATAAAATTTATTTGGAATGATATGCAGAGTAAACTTAAAAAAAATATTATTATTGCCATTTATTGATTATAGAGACCACTTTTATGATCTATTTTAGACTGTAAGACAAGGTATTATAGTATGTTTAAATATTCTTAGGTTGAAAGGACTTGAAGTCAAATACATCTGTCTCAAGATTATTATATTATCATTATACGTTTCATTAAAAGTCATAAGTAAAAAGGGATACAATCCTCGAAAAACAATAGATTAATCTTTTTACAAAGCTTTATATTTTTTAAAAATATTACAATTATTAGGATTATTGCACCTTGGATTCATATTTCTACAAAACAAATCAATAATTATGCTTGGAACTAACAGAAGACCTGAGCTAAACTATTCTTTGGAGCCAAATTTATTATTGAATATATTCAAGCAAGGTAGAATTACAATGGATATAAACTCTTGAATTTTATTGCCAAAAATATTTTAATAACTTAATATCCTTTAAATTTTATTATATCATGAGGATATTTGTATTCATTATATTAAATTTCTTAAAATTTTGTTAGCAATTTCTTGGTTAATTAATATTTTTTCTTTCTTTCATCTCTAGGCTACGGGTCATGTAAAATAGTTTATTGGAAGAATTTATTATTTTGAAAGTATAGACTATTTTTCATTATCATGTGAGACCTATAATCCTTTTAAGAAAACAATCTCTTATTTAGAGCTTGAGACATGCTCATCATGTTATTGTTTCTTAATCTTTTCATATTTTCGTTCATTATTATCTTTTCTAGCTTTTTTAAGGTTGCCCTGCATTAGTAGTCAAACAAAAATAATTTTGTTAACTAAAGAATATTTTGCTATTTGGTCGGCCAAACAACCAATTGGTCAGCCCAAAAAATGGAAGCCAAAGAGCCCCGGTCAACATGTCTAAGATACTCAATTTCACTTAATAAATCCAGTAGAATCTTGGCCGGGAAAGATTTTAGACAACAAGTTTATAAATAACTCTCTGAAAGTCCTTTAGCACAGGCAATCAGTGTCCTGAAGGGCAGCACATCAACAGAGGCAAGGGAAGAGGGAGGAGGAAGTAGATGGTAAAGAAGATAATTAATTCAATGGAATATTATTTTTTATTGTGATTGTTAAAAAAAACATGCGTTTTTGGCAACCAAACTTTAGAACTACCCTCCTACGATCCTATCTCATTAAGAGCTAAACAATGCAATGCGGAGTTATTTTTTTCAGATTTCCCAGTATAAATTTTCTGGCAACGGTGGACAGTGTATTCAATTTATCATAATAAAAAGCCTAAACAATCATGGTTCCCTCAAAATCTAACTAACGTGGACATCGAAAGAGAGAAAAAGCATTTACCGAACCGTCAAGGTCGAGGGATTTGAGGAATTTCTGGTAACCCACGGTGTAGTTGAAGGAGATCGTCCGGGAAAAATCCTCCCCTCTCTGCTCTGCGCCGCAGAAGATACAGATTGTCGAGTTGATACCTCTCAAAAGTCCTCCATGGCATCTCTTACAGCGAAGGTAGTCGGGGAGAGTGGGATCAAGAGCAGCCACGGCATCGGCGACGCATGGAAATGAGCCGAGAGCAGGGTCGCCGGGATCGTATGAAGGCACGCCAGCGGCCTGACGCAGGCGGATCTTGATGTCTTGGATCAGATCGGAAGGGTAATCCGGCGCCATCGTTCTCTCTCCTGCGTTTCTCGAGCCCCCGCTGTGCCACTTAACCCTGCTAAACTAATACTTCGTGCACCATTTAATTGTTTGCACAGCAAACTCACCGCGAACCGCGTGACTTCATTAGAGTCTGCATTGCAACGTGGCAATCGGTGCGGCTGTGGGTACGAAGACTTATCTTCTATTTCGAATTATATCTGAGGGAGCTAGCAGCTAGCTCCTGGAAAAGCTTTGTTAAGGATATCTAGTTATCAGTTCCTTGATCATTCAATTTATTTTTAAGATTAATATAATCTATAGCTAACTGATTAAATTTTATTTTCCAATCATTTTAAAAATGCTCTTTGTGGTATAAAATTTTCTATTGTTGAATGTGATATTACCTCCTAATCTAATGATTAACACAATTTTTTTATCAATTGATTGTGAGTTTTGATTATAAATTAAGAGTTCTTATGTTCGATATTTACGTACGTGATGTGTGTATAATTTTGTTTTAATGACTCAATATCTCAAAAAAAATGTTAATATCAAAATATAGTCAATTATAAATAATATTTGAGATAAAAAATACAAATAAAAAAAAAACTTTGTGCCGCTATTATTTGCATGTTATGATGGATTCCTCTCGAGATCGACCATCAATTACTATTACTGACAACCACCATCATCATCGACGATCAGCATTAGAAATCATCATTATCTCCAAAAACTGTCAAGATTAGACTCTGTTGTTGGGTACATTTGTCTGCTTCTGAACATCGACATTCTAAAATCACACTTGGAAAGATTAAGTTATGTTGTTGGGTATAAACATGTGATATGTGTACTCTTTTTCTTTTCCAGGAGTGAAGAAATGAGGATTTTTGTATCACTTATTAATCGAGAATTCTACAACTAGGCCAGACCCGGTAGTTTTCCCTTTCCAGTTTTTTCACATAAAAATTATCTGGCCTTATCTTGTTTATATGTTTATGCTAAATCTTTGTGCACTGCTAAGAAGTAAAATCTAATCTACAATATGTCTACCTTTATGTTTCTTAATATAGACAATATCTAATACATCTTATCGCCTAACCAATCATCTGAGGCTTTATTCTTATTATTTTAAGCTAAGGTTAACTCCTGATATTTTCATTACTCGATATTTGTGTAATTCACGTGTACATGATCTACTTAAATTTAATAAGTTCAATATGTTATTCTTTTTTGCTTTAAAATTTTAAAATTCTATTCGAGTTTTAAAACATATTAGTGTTTAAATAAACCAAAAGGTGACAATATCAAACAAAATTTTTAAAAATAGTATATATAACTGTTGAGGGCTAGAATATATGCGGCGATAGAGTTTTAATTCTACGTATTAGCGTTGCACTAATATATAGCTCACGCACAGAGAACACATGATCTTTTACATGGAAAATCCTACAAAGGGAAAAAATCACAGAGCCTAGACCAGTTGAAAAGATTTTACTAGAATTTGAGTTGAGTACACTAGTGGGCTAACTTGTCCTTGATGGTGATCAGATTACAAATATCAATTGTATGGTTGAAGTCTAATGTTAAATCTGGCATCACTTGGAAATTAGGGCGTCAATTAATAGTTCAGTGGTGACTTAGTGAAACTCTTGGCGGAGTTCAGTGCCTTAAGTGGTAGTCCAGTGAAGATAAGGATCTCAAGTACTGGTGGATCGGCAAGGGTGAGGGCCTCAAGTGGTGGCCCGGCGAAGGTGAGGGTCTCAAGTGGTAATCCGGCGAGGGTGAGGGCCTCAAGTGGTGGTCCGACGAGGTTAAGGGCCTCAAGTGGTGGTCCGACGAAGGTGAGGGCCTCAAGTGGTGGTTGGACGAAAGTGATGGCCTCAAGTGGTAGTCTGACGAGAGTTCGGGCCTCAAGTGGTGGTCTGGCGAAGGTGAGGGTCTCAAGTGGTGGTCTGGCTAGGTTGAGAGCCTCAAGTGGTGGTCTGGCGAAGCTGAGGGCCTCAAGTGGTGGTCGGACGAAGGTGAGGGCCTCAAGTGGTGGTCCGGAGGAGCAACGACGTCAGGCGGTGGTCCGGCGGAACTCAGGCTGTGGTCGAGAAGGAGCAAGGAGGAAAGAGCAATCTCTGATCTCTCTCTTTAAATCATTTGGCTTAGGGGTCCCCTTTCAAGAGAAAAGATTGGTCTATGTATAGATTTCTGGAGTGACTAGATGAGAAATCAAGGGAAAATGGGGAGTGGTTAGATTGACGTCCGATGTTGATTCCCTTGATCAAGTGCCATTTGATGGACATTTGAATGCCTTAGTGATGTCAGAATTTGGTGATCTTGGGCTCGTTGGATTCGTCTCGTCGAGCCACTCGATTTGACTATAAACATGTTATGTTTGAAAATCTTTTGATAATTCAAATTGTGGTTCAAACCTTCCAACATCATTTCTAACCCTTTATTTGGACCCATTTGGGTTCGGATTGGGTTGGATTTGGTGTCATTGGGTTTGTATTCTCGAGACATTCAGTTTGACTATAAGTTTGTTGAAATCGGAGTTCGGATGGTCCCAATTTAATTTCGGAAGTTTCAAATTTGATTTTGCATCGAGATTCGTGCCCGATCAAGATAATTTTTTAATGATGTATCAATAACCAGTTGGAATTATTTAAAGCTAAAAAATTAGGATTATAAATTGATCATTTATTTATTTTATTTTACTATTCATTTATTTTTAACCCGAGGCAGTTGATCTGATTGCCTTCATATATTTCTAAACCAAAATAAAGGCAGGTCCAAGCTCATTTATTAGTAGATTATCAACTCAGCGGCATTTTCTTTTGAGTGGTCCTTTCATATTAATTTCATCAGTGCTGGTCTAACGAATTAACGATCATATTTTTCCAAATCCTTTGCAGACTTTTTAGAAATTAAAATCTAAATATATGTATATATATATATATATATATTTAAAACTGATCAAAAGATGTTATTATTTTTCAAAATAATATTAATTTTTAATATGAAAATTTTTTTTATTTCATTCTAAATCAAAATTTTAGTACAAAGGCAAAAAAATTATTAAGTACTAAAATTTTGCTAGTCATGTATTGTTTTTATTACTTCATATTAAATAGAATTATTATACCTTCAGTCTTCCACCCTAAACTCTAAACATGTGTGATATATAAATTCATATATATAAATATGGCATTATAATGAAACATATAAAGTATATTATTTTAACATAATGTTTATATAAATTAAATTTAATAAAATCAACAAGAAAAAAAAAATCAAAATAATTTCACATTTCATGTATTGGAGAAACTATTACATGCGGACATAGGATATATAGAGCTAGTCTGGACTCTAGTAAAATGCTGGCACATATACTAGTACATAATATGTGTTGACAAGTACACACTCTGTATTGATCAATACACACTATGTACTAGCGGTGTATTAGCTAATACAGTGTACTAGTTATGTATTGACTTGTATATACTACGTATTATAATACACAGTGTGTATTAACTAGTAAATTGTGTATTAATATACATGTCGTCATTTTATTGGAGTTAGGATGTAGCTATACATCTAATATTCGCACGTAATAATTTCAGCATGCATTGAGCAAATTTGTTACTAAACCACTCAATGAAGAAGAATAGTGTCACCCACCTGTCTATTCAAACTTTTTTTTTTTTTTGACATTTAGACCAATTAAGATAGACTCACACATACATCACATACGCAAGACTCGAACTCAAAACTTTTTAGTTGGTACCCTAAGCACTCAACCAACAAGCGGTGTCTGGTCAAACCTTCGAGTTCAACTCCTATTTACTAAGTACACTATTCATCCACTAAGAGGACTTGTCATATTCCTTTCTTCGTTGTAAAAGATTTTGTTACTTTGTTCGCTTTATGGCAATCAATATTCAACCATAACAACCAACTCAATTTAATAGAGAGGGCTCACATTCATAAAAATTTTAATAAAACTGTGGGCCCTCAAACTAAAAAAAAAAAAGGGATTTTTACATATTTTTATTCAAATTTATTTATTAAATGAGTTGAGAACTTAAATTTAAACTGAAAACAACAAAATTTGAAGTCACAATAAATTTTTATTTTCTTTTTAAGGGTAAACATATACTTCCTTTTTTAAATGCTTGAAATTTCATTCTACCCAAAATTTTAATTTGTAAATCTGAGAATTCAGATTGGCTGAATTCGAATAAACATTCTACTAAAAAATATTACTATTTTTTAAAATTTTTTTAATTTTCGATTCTAATATATGATTGAGTGAACTACTTTGTAAACGAAAATAACTATCTTATGCTTCGTTTGGGACGGCATTTTTACTGCTTCTTAAAATAACATTTTAGCACAAAAATTAAAATATTCGTATTAGAAAGTAGCTTTAAGAAGCAGAAAAAACCCGCCCAAACAAAGCCTTATAAGCTCAAATCACAACAACCCTTAGTAATTATGTTAGTGTCAATTAGTATGATCCAATAACTAATAAGTCATCCCTCATTAGAGAAAAAAAAAAAACTAACTCTAAATTGAATCAAAATAATCTTCAATGAATTTAATAGTTACATCACAATATTTAGAAAGCCATCACCCCTTCAAATGTGCTATGAAGTCTTATCAACCTGCTCTCAAATCAATAAGGTCTCTCCCCAATGTAATTCCCTGGTGGATCATACTCGCAAACCATGAATTGGCCGCGCCCACCGACGCAGTTGACGGTGGCGCATCCGATTCGACGTGTAGATCGCCATACGATTTGCGTGTAGTGCCCACACTCTCGGCCGACGACGCAGGTGTTAGCTTTGATGGAGTACCATCGGCCCTCGCCGCCCCACGCCGCCACTGCTTGGGCGGGGCTCCACCCTGAACCTGAGCCCCAAAATATGTTCTCACCATATGGCCCGCCTGAGTGAACGAGGGCACAGTCGCTGCGCCGTCGAAGCGCATAGCTCTCGGCATATTGCATTAATTGCAGGTCCCATGTTAGCGGCGTTAGCTTGAGGGGGGAGCGAATCGCATTGTGTGGGGATAAGAATTGGCTTGGGAGGCCAAAGGTGGCGGTTTTATTGACCGTAGCGGCGGTGGCGACAGTAATGATGGCGGCGGCAAGGAGGAGGGCGGAGGTACGGTGAGCCATGGAGTGGGAACTGGGAAGTGCTTTGCTTTTGAAGGCTGGAATTGGGATTTGGGGGATTTATATATATGCGTTGTTCATATTTATTAGTTGTGATTTTGCCTCAAGGATTTGATGGCAGCCATGTTCGATAATGAGAGCCACTTTAATTTTGGTTAAGAGTATTGTGTTTGTTTAATGCTGAACTAATGATTAGTTGACAACTGAATTTTTTTTTTTTTGAAACGGGATATCCAATCATTGTAATCTCCGAGAGGGCACTTGGCGGCGCGACTAATCCTCTGCTGATCTAGAAGAGGCACCCACTCCAGAAAATCTTCTTGCCCGCACTTGATTGGATCCCACTTAAGAGACACTGACGCTCGTGCGGAATCAAGCAAAATTACAAATGACTTATTTATTGTTAGAGGACTGCTTTGAAGTAGTAATTATGGCTGCTGTTGAAATGTGTAGTTAATGGTTTAGATTTATGAAAAATAGCTTGCAACATCTAAGGAGTTTTTATTATAATTTTTTTATTTTCGGAAATTTAAGGTATCTTTGGGACAGCTTTTTGGGTTTTTTATTTTTCAAAGAGTAATCATAATTTTGTTTGTGTGCTATTTTCTTGATATTTTATCACTGTTTTTTAAAATTTTGTGGTGGAAAGCTGATTTTTCTGACTAATGCTTCGTTTGGGATGACCTTTTTAATGCTTCTTAAAATTGAGTTTTAGTACAAAATTAAATTTTTTTTACTAAAACTATTTTTGAAGAAGCAATAAAGAAGTTGTCCCATGACGGCTTTTTTATTGCTTCTTGAAGCAGCTTTTTAGACAGCTTTCTTATTGCTTCAAGAATCAGTAAAAAAGTCGTCTTTGTTTGAGACAGCTTTCTTATTGCTTCTTAAAGCAAATTTTAGTTAAAAAATTAAAACTTTTGTACTAAAAAACTACTTTAAGAATCAGTAAAATAGCCGTCCCAAACTGAAATAGCAACGTTGCTTTATCTTTAATAACTTTACAAATAACTTTATAAAATATTATAATTATCTCAAATAGACTCTTCGGCTCATAAATTCTTATTATTGCTAGACTCATATCATAACTGAAACAATAAAGAACTCTAGGTTGTTTTTTTTTTAATTAATTAAACATGTGCCATCATAAAATCATAATTAAAATAAATGTAGCATTTAAGGTAAAAAGTATATTAAAATAACACAAGGTCTACAAGCATCATTCAGAAATTATAATAAAATAAAGGACATGAAAAGTCTATCAAAATAAGATAATGAAACAAAATATTCAAGAAAAATATTAACCGCTAGAGAAATGAAATGAGATATCTAAAAAATAATCAAATCAACAGTATTATTAGTCAAGAAATAACTAAATAAACTATTTCTAACAACTGTGGATAATGGTATGATAAACTATTTTGGGCTTTAGTTTTAATGGCTCATTTTGGTGGGATTATATTTGAAATAGTTTAGCTTTTTCACGCATTCAATGGGGGCGGGGCGGTGCAATTGCCCTCCGTGCTCAGGGGGGTCCGCCCCTATTCCCAAGTTTGTGACCTTTCTTGAGCAGTAACCCCATATAAAACTGTAAAGTAAACTAAGACGCTTCTAGGAGAAGCTACTATTAGGATTTGGTCCAATTTTAAGTTAAGTTGTTCTGCAAGACACCACATAGATGCCAATCTCTATATATAGTACATAGCTTGATGTATTATAAATTTGAATTGGAATTCGAATAACAATGTCTCTGTTGAACTCTCTCCCTCTCTCTCATCCAAAAAGAGCTTTCTTCCTCCAAGATTTTCATGACAGCTACATTATCCAAAAGAAATATAGAAATCACATCTAAAATCTTTTTCATAACCCAATTTGGCCTATAATGAATCATTAAGGTAAAATAATTCCCAATAGATGATCTAATAAGTTTAAATTGATTATCTAAGGTAAATAATTTACATTTTTGTCCTATCAACCAAGTTTCAAGTCTATTAAAAAGCACATATAAGAACACAAAGATCTTTTCATGATAGGGTATCATCAATCTAGCATAGTTGTTAAGAAATACCCATCGCTTTAGAATCAAGATTAGCATATAGGCCATGATTTTATGAAAATGAACTAAAAATCTCCAAGTGCATTCACTATAATAGAATAATTAGCACAACTAAAAATCTATATAATCTAATGAATTTTTTTATTAATTGAATTTTTACTTGAATTAAAATAGCTAATTATCATGTTCTAAGTCTTGTATGAAAAAAATGGAGGGCTGCATTAGATAGCCGACAACCAACATATAAATTTGTTGAATATTTATGACATGAATCCTTTAATATATTATATAGAAAACTTAAATTTGTGCTCTAAATTTTCCTTCTTTACTGTCGTTTATATAAATCCTTACAAAGTAGAACAAATATTGAATTCAATCGCGGTAGGAGGAGACTTTGGAGCTGCATCATAGTCCATTTTGTGAGCTTATTTTTAAGGTTAGTTAGATAAAATCGCACATACCAATAATTTAGAGAAAACTATTCATAAAATAAAAGGAGAAGAAAATGTTATGTGAATTGGTTTTATTCCATTCAAAATATATATATACTGAACTATGAAATTTAAATAGCGATATGGATATGCATTATACAAATGAGGATGGAGAGAAAAAATTATGCGGAGGCTGCAAGTCTGCAACATTTATAAATTATATGAAATGGCCCAATGGGCTAACCTTTAGAAAGTCGGCCCAATGACCATGCTTTAGTAAAAATGGGCAATTAAAAAAATATTTTTCTAAATTTAATTTTTTTAGAGATAATAATTAAACGTTAATTACGAATGTTGCGGGCTTGAAAACTCTCTCACTCTATCATCTGTGCCTGCTTCCGTACTGTTCTTAGACCACTATAACCCAACTATGATTCTTCTAACTCCCATCTCCCATTAGCTATGGTCCTCGGACCACCTTCTCTCAACTAGGGACATCCAACTACCATAGTTTGACTACGGTCCTTCTCGCCTTGATCATGCGTCAACTACGTTCAGTACCCGACTATGGTCTTCCCAACCTGTATAGTCTGCCGACTACCACCTTTTCGACATCGTCGTCTATCAACTACGATCTTCAAACACTATAGGAAAATGCCTTGTTACCGGCGAACCAAATCCGTTGGTAACAATAGAAATACACGAACATGCATATGATGGTAATTTGCTAGTCAGAAAATATAAACCGGAGAAACTTTTCTGTCGGAAAAAATTTCAACAGCGTTTTCGGCGCATTTTCCGACGAAAAAGAGGAAGCTAATATGTCATCTTTCTCAAGTGAATTCCAACGTTTAATCCGCCGGTATTTTTGACGCATTTGTACGTCAGAAGTACCGCAGATAATCCGTCGCACTACTGTCGATGGATGGAACCAGTGAATTTTTTGCCATAAATTTTGACGCAAAAGCGTGCCGAAAAGAATAATCCATTTACGTTGTATCGTATTGCTGACGGAGTTTCCGGCAGATAATACGTCGGAAACTTGTAACATAAACCAATAATAATAATAACCTATGACTTATGAAACTGATTTCTACAAAACAATCTGCATACAAAAGTTAAAATGCTATATACATTCAAACATATACATCTAATTAAAAACATCGTCAAATATTGAACATAAATATATAAACATGAACAAAAATAAGAAGAATATCATCAACAAACATCTAGTAATAAACAAGTGTAGATGTCTAAAAAATAAATAAATACATATGTAAAAAAAAAATGTTCAAAATAAAATATACAATATCTACTCTAAATCAGTCTTCTCCTCTCCAGAAGATGTATTTTTTCCATTGAATTGCTCTTTCATTTTTCGCATTTCATCCAACAATTAAGTTTGATGCATCTTCATATGCTGTTGCATCTACATTATCCAATCAAATTGTACTTTCCTGAGTTATTCTGACTCGGCTGTAAGGGAAGTTATCTTTTGGCTATATAAGGACTCCTAGTTTAAACCATAGTTACCTTACTACTTCCTTCTACCACCTTCGCTCGACTACGATCTTTTTTACCTTCGTCGCCCACCGATTACGTTCCTCTAACCAATAATCACTTATCTATTATCAACTAGCTACTCCAAAGCCTATTAACTTCACCACCTACCATCATTAATAATGGCAACACACACCATCACTTATAGGATTGATATATGTTATTGAATTCAACTATAAATCCTAGCTTTAGCACTTTCTCTTATCATTCTTGCACCCCCAGAAGGCCAAAAACAGTCCAAACTCTTAACTATCAAGGTATTATCCATTTTGGTCTATTGGCCTCGCAATTTTCACTACAGGAAAATAATTGATTTCTGGCGGAATTTTTCGGCGGTCACGTTTCCGGCGATTTTTTCTCACGGAATTTTCTGGCGACTTTTTCACTTTTCCGGCGGCTTTAAAAACTTTATTGAAAATGAATAAAATTTTTACTATGTAAATGATTTAACAAAAATTTATTCAAACTTATATTAACTATTTAATTAATTCTCATTTTAAAATTAATTGTGAGTTTAAATTTTATTTTATATCAAATATTTTTTAATTTTAAATTAATTAGTTTTATTTTTAAGAATAATTAAAAAAAATTATTTTCGTGTAATATAACTTTAAAATAAATAATATTGACAATAATAACGGTAGTTTCATAATCAGCAATTTCGGTTTTGGTTGCTTGAAATGTTACACGGAGGACCGCGCGTTCGAATCTCACCGCGCGGCAGACGCGGGGAGCGGCGCGACGAAGCCGCGGGAGGGGCCTGGCGTAGCGCGTGAGCAGGGATCGCGGAGGGCAGGCCGGAGCGCGGAGAACCCGGATCCGTTAGTTAGAGAGCGGCGCCGTGGCGGGGTTCGCGGGCCGTGGGCGCCGGCGGCGGGAGCGGGGTGGCCTAGCCGGGAGCGAAATTTTTTTTTTTTAATTTGACCGGCGATTTAAGGGACCGCCGTTAAGCCGCTGGA